CCAGACAGGGTAACAACAAGTACCATCTTTTAACGTCTTTTTGTATGACGCGTCCGGGGATCGAACCCCGGACCTTTCGCTCTCCGGGCGGACGCTCTACCACAAGACCACGGAGGCGGTCGGGTGAAGAAATAAAATGCTGTAGATTGTATTCCCACTTTCCAAGACTTCGCCGCTAGCTTTTACAAAAACACACTTTTGAGGTTTCTGAAGCCAAAGTGGGGAGGCAAGTCTGTGAATCGTGGGCCTTAAACGTAGTAATGCAGGATAAGTATACAAATGTAAAAAATATTTAGATTTTACTAAATGTTTTACTTATCCTGCATTACTCCTTAATGCATCTGTATCGGACAGTTTGGAGGTGGGAAACCTTCAAATTACAGAAACCTCAATAATTCACACCCTGAAGAAACGACATCACCAGTCATAAACCGTGAAGCGGAAAAACGCCATTACGCACTCTCCTACCCAGAGTTCCATGCGGCCGGCAGCCAGCTAGCATAGTACCTCTGCCACAGGCCAGCGCCATGTGACGATTCATCACATCTTTCACAGTCCATTCAAGATATTGCATATGCTTTTCATCCGTTTCATGTTTGACAAGTCTACACATTTTCATAAACAAATGTCAAAGAATGGTTAACTTTCATTGAGAAAGTATGCAAATACGTAAAAATCTACTTGTTTTTGCGTAGTTATCCTATGTTTACATTGGTTGTACGGCTCCACGTGCTGTCATCGAAGCCCAACGGAGAGCTAGCGACACGGTCACTTTGATGCATAAATATATATTGTCATGCAACTCACTGTCGCAGTTGTAGTAGCATATCTATATAGTTATGCAAAACAATATGTAAAGCGCCCCCAAATACTTGCATTAGTCCGTTCTATACTGAAAAAGCGTGTTTGTTTACAAACAAGAGAAAAGTCCGGTCACGTGATATGCATATTAGCCTGTGGCAGTGGTGTTATGCTGAGTCACCACTGCGACGGAGTGTGGCCATTACGGTCAGGATATTTCAATGTAAAATAACAATTGAACATAGGAATTAAAGAGTAGCTCCCTGTACACCATAGCAATAAAGATCAAATTATCTTACCAGCTAAGTCTTACTTAGTACGACATAGAGCCCTTGTACATAATCAATTGTCTAATATTCTTCCACTGGCGAAATCGGAAATCGGAAATGGAATGGCTCTGTATAGGGCCAGTTCATTATTTGCACCGGGGGGTTGTAACCTGCTGGGCCAAAAACCCGTGCCGCCGAGGCTAATGCCAAGAGAAACACTGTTTTCTTGGTCAGGTAAAAAAATAAGGATGCATACAGGGACTCGAAGGGGGGTCCTCACAAATTCCTGAGCTCGATGAAGCACCCTCACGCGGGCCATCAGGTCGCGACCAAAGTCAGAGCAAGTATCCTTGTCTCCTTCATCTTTTGCATTACCCTGGGAAGTAAAACAGGTGGCGGAAAAGCGTACGCTTTTAGTCCTTCCCAAGGAATGCTGAACGCGTCCACTGCCCAAGCCTGCGGATCCGGTAACGGGGAGATATACGTCAAAGGTGGTAATTTTGGCAAGTTGCAAACAGGTATTTATTAATTGCATAAAAAGGCTTTGCTCTTTCTGCTTCACTTCTAAAGAAATCATACACATTCAACATCAACTGTTTAACATCTGTTGAGTAGCGCATCTTGTCATTGAATGAACACGGTCACTGTGTAGCACGTGCAGACCGTGCTTGCGCTGTGCCTTCCACGGTTTGTCCCCCCTACGTGTCATGTACACATTTCTATACAAAATTACATGATAGTTTCTTAAAGAACTTCATCCGTCATGGGTCTTACAATAAACAAAATTCAGATTTTGTTGGGTACAGGGTATTCATGGTCAAGTACCATATTGATGTTTCATACACTTTTCTGGATTTCGAGTTATTTTGCAATTCATCGTTCTCCTTTGGAGTCAAACGGACTGTAGATGTGAATGTCTAGATGGTGAAGGACTTCTACTCCAATGTGTAGTGCTACCTCTGACCGAGGGTTTAGATGATCCGCCTGGTGAATAGGAGTCATGCATTGATGTCCAAGTACGTGCAGGCATACTGGCACTACTCAACGATGAATGCGCTGTATTATAACATACAAAAGGTGCAATGTATACTTTAGGCGCCGGCGTAGGTGCTAAGATCTGTGCCGTAGATGTAACTGATGCAGGCGTCTGATACATAGGCGTAGGCGTGGGCGCAGGATACAATTGCGTCATGGACTGCTGCCAAATGGACTTGCATCTAATTAGTGTTCCGTAACAGTGTTGGCGCCTGAGCGTGTATCTGCTGCGGTGGATATGTTGGTACAGCGCTATGCTTATCATGCACTGCCTGCTGGGGCTGCCCTCGGCGCAGGTAACTGAGATGCAATGCTCAATGGTGTTGGCTGGATCGTGGCTTGGGTTTGCGCTTCCCCCATCAAAGCATCTTGAGATGTCTCAGGCGGCTGAAAATTAGGGTCGGTTATGATACTCACAAAATGTTTTCGACAGAATGTACACTTCAGCGGTGACAGTAACGGCCGACATATTACCCGCCAAAGATAATGGTTGCGTAGTAATGACCGAACCCTGTCCCTCGCTATTCAGCGATTGCGACATCTTCCTAGTCTCAGGACGGGATTGCTGCAAAATACGTTTGTGAGTGACCTGCCTATAAGTTGTAAAACTTGTTGGAGAGAGATTTACTCAAAAGACACATTTAGAGTTCGGTCCACAAATTTGCATGTATGCCAAACAACATGTATGAGGATCCATGGGAGATTGGTTTCCATGACAATTGGTACAACGTGCAAGCAGAAGGTACGCAAATAAAGACTTCTTGATGAAGCGGAAGAGTGCCGTAGAATTTAATTAATTATCAGTAAAAATATTGTAGCAAGTTGAAAGTGTATTCAATAATTTGTATATACGCAACTCAATGTAACACCAAAGCTAGTAAGAACACATATGTAGCTGAGAACTGTAAACAAATTGACGACCCTGGCAGGCAAACAATTGTAACACAATTCAAAATGGTGGTGAACAATAAGCACGTGGCAGGAAAAAAGACAAAGTCTTTTTTACACCTAAATAAATCATATAAAACTGCACAACATGGTGAGAGTAATATGAAAAAAATGCACCACCCGTCGCAGATCAATTTTAGAATAATTGTAGACGAAAACTGAAGGTCTAAATTAATCCAAAACGAGAGCTCCGCTGGTACACGTCCGTGCTGTAGCGCCACAGGCAGTGATGTGAAGAGGTGACCCCAGGTCTTGAAATGTGGACTGCGAACTACAGCATTTTATTTCTTCACCCAGGACCATCACCGTTACGCTGTCCCATTGTTTGTCGCAAGGAAAGCAGTGAATGCATGAAGGAGTATTGCAGGATAAGTGAAACATTAATCATGTAATTACACTGTCTGGTTGTAAAAAGAGTTCTTTATATATATGAACATATGTTTGTAATCTATTTTATTAATTTTATTTAAAATAACATTCAATATTGTTTCAATTCATTTCAGCGGAATCGTATGTGAAGTGATCGGAAGATCGCACAACTCACGGTTATTTACAGCAACCACGGTCATATTATCGCTATTGACGCCTTGAAACAAACTTTGGTGGATAGAGAGAGTAAATATATATATCATTAATGCCATACACTGACTCGCTGAAAGTCATATTTGTTGTAGTTTGACTATTATATGTCAACAAAAAGTTTTCGCAATAGCGGGTGCAGGAGCATCGACTGTGATTGGTCAAATTCTTCCATACGAAAAGATATCCATCACTAGTGATCAGCTGTACCAAAGTGCTATGTTTATGGTTATTCATTTATTTTACATACATGTATATAATAAAATTACATGATGTTTGAAAAAATTATTCCTGATAACATAATCGTTTTAGATACAATTCTTCCACTCAATGTATCAAAATTCTTCAAAGTTATATAATAATGGGTAATTTTTTACCGAATCACCGGTAGATTCCGAGAAAAGTGTGTACAGCTGATTGCCACTTCCCGCTTAGTTTTTGTAAAAAGACGCACGGTAATCTTAATCTCTGCATATAAAACAATGCCAATCAGAACAGGATATACAATTTAATTGACATCCTGTCTTGAAATGTTTTATCTCAAATTTATATTCAAATTTGTATTGACCAAGTTTAATTGTTATAATCTGTTAATTTCCCCAAATTCGCAGAAGGGATAGGATGAAATTTTTTATTGCGGAAGACACATACATTTTTATTGCAAATGTAGGGATTGTGTATGCGCTGGTGACATGCTTCATACCGATTCACTTTAAAGACAGGGTATATAAATTAGCATCTATTTCCCGCTTATTTTATGAGACAAATATTATGTAAATCTTAACCTCTGCGTATAAAACATTGTTCAGCATACAGTACACTGATACCATTGAATTCGTAAATCATCATGTCTAGTGATGTTTTATCGCAAATTTCATATTTTCATTGACCAAATTTGCAAACGGCAAAACAAGCACACAGACTCCATATTGCTGCCATGACCATAACACATGAGCTTCCCAATAAAGCAGTGCCCATGAAAAGGGAAGTAACTGCACGCTATATTGGATCACACTGTTTTTAAGTATTGAAGCATTCCACTGTTGGGGTCGTCTGTTCGAGATACAGAATAATTAAAGATTTTTTTTTTTAATTTTGAAAATGGAAATAAAAATGAAATGTGAGGCAGACTTTCTGATGATGCAGCGGTGCCTGAGAACCAAGAATACTTTTTTTTTAGCCTAAACATATCTAAACATATGAAATCCTATTAAGAATCTTTGAATGCAAATATGTTCCTGATGAGTAATACCCCTCAATTTGTCTGCTGTACACTTGGCACTGAACAAATCAGTAGAAACTAAAGTAAGAGTGCATAATGCACACCACACATCCTCGTGAACTTTAACACGATCTTTAGGATCTTACCAACACATCTCTGGGCTAGTTCTGTGACAAAGCCGTCAGCCAACTTGGGACTCCATGCCTTGGTGTGAATTTTCAGTATCTGCTTCCTTGCCGAATGTGAAGGCAATGGGAAGAGGAACTCCCTGTCAAATCTGCCAGGTCTCCTCAGCGCTGGGTCGATCGAGTCGATCCTGTTGGTGGCGCCAATGACAACTATTTCTCCTCTGCTATCAAGGCCGTCCATGAGAGCAAGCAGAGTGGAAACAATTGAGCTGTGAATCTGGTCCTGGCGACTTGAGCGTACAGGGGCAAGACCATCAATCTCATCAAAGAAAATTATGGAAGGACGCATCTGGTATGCCTAGGAAGAAAACAGACTCATACAGAATGTTGGGATGCTGTCATTTGTTATAGGAACATTATTGTAGAGTATTGAGGGCAAATCAGTGCGGTCTTATAGTATTGCAATCTTTGGCAACAAGGAAAAAAGTGGCTCACTAACACATTTCTAAGTTCAAAACATAAAAAAAGCAATATTTTTTCAGAAAATCCAAGTATTGAAAGCAAACTTTGAACTGCTCCTCTCCTATTGGAATAGCAACTATATACAGTAGGTCTCAAGTTATAGGTCACACAAATGTTCAAGTAAAACATGAGGCCCATAGGGCCGTTATCACCCACCTGGATATTTACGCAATCATGACAAAATATACATTTGCATTGTACATGCATATAATACTGATCTGAACCGATTCCATGTTATGATCCAGCATCTAAGTTTCCAGAGGCAAACTGGACCCCAGGGTGAATCCTAATGGCATAAATGTATTATTCTCTTCATAACAAACAAATGAAAACAATGTATCTGTTTATTATAGGGTGGGGATAATATCGGTTTGCATGCTATGGTCAAGGTTCTAACTCCTTTGGGAGTGCCAGACTGATGAACAGAAGGGCCAGTCCTGGTAGCAAAAAATGTATTGTCTAATGAAGATGAGCATGGGTATATAGGATGGGGATTTTGATAATCTTTTAAGTAATTATCACCCAAAGTCCCTTTCTAGTCGGAGTGAGTGAGTGAGTGGGTGTGCTTTTACGCCGCTTTTAACCTAGAAATAGACAAGGGGAAACCCTGATGGTAACAGACAAGCTGACTTGGTTCGAAAAAGGGACTTATATGAATATCACCAATGTTTTGTTCAACAACAAAGATTTATAAGGTACTTTATTACCGGTCCAAGTCTAATTTTAACTGTAAAAAAACTGGTAATAACCGATAAACGGGAACGCTGTTTTTAGGAATGGGGTATAATTAATTAGTCAAAAATGTATGAATGGGTCATATGAAGACAGCTTCCAAAATGTCAGAACAGAACAGAACACCTAGCAAAATCCTGACTAATTTAGTAAAACCATTCACGATTGTCAAATCATACTGAAAAACTTCCATAATTCCAGGTTTCAAGTCACCGGTGTCTAAGTTCCTCTAAGTTACTCTAAGTTCTATTGTGTGTGATTCTGTCAAGATGAAACAGCAAGGGAGCAGGATGTTATCAAACCCACAGAAGATTTTGCCATATCTTCAAATAAACCTTCTGCATAAAAAAAAGTTGTGACATCTAACTACAATCTGATTGTCACGTTTCAGAAACATCACTGAAATTCCTGACACACCATATCAAAATGTTTGCACAAATGTCGGTAATGTTGTTAGTCATAATACGAGAATTAAACAAATTTCTTACACACAACTGAAAATTTTTAAGTTATGTAGAAGAGAAGAAGCTGGGGACATGGTCTAACACAAGCTTCATCAGTTGTGCATTCTGTCTGTGTGGCAACTCATCTTGATACAGACAAGAACTGATCCCGTAAATTCAAGAAGATTTACCTGATCAAACAGCAGACGGAGCTGTCTTTCTGATTCTCCAACCCATTTACTGAGGCAGTCAGCACCTTTTCTCATGAAGAAAGCCACTCTTCTGTCGGAGGAGCTACATTCGTTAGCCAGAGCTCTTGCGATCAAGGTTTTTCCCGTTCCTGTAATAGGAAGACACAACTACAATATTCTGTATCTATACGTCTGTAGCAGTGTAACAGGGAGTGTGAGTATGGTTTTTCTTCTTTTAGCTATATTCCAGCAATATCATGGCGAGGGACACCAGTAAAGGGCTTCACACATTGTACACACTTTGGGAATCGAACCTTGGTCTTGAGCTTGACGAGCGAATGCTTTAACCATTAGGTTACCCCGAGGCCCCATATTGTAGCAGGGAGGGTGTGACAGGGAGGTAGTGACAGGATGGGTGTGACAGGGAGGGTGTGACAGGATGGGTGTGACAGGGAGGGTGTGACAGGGAGGGTGTGACAGGGTGGGTGTGACAGGGTGGGTGTGACAGGGTGGGTGTAGCAGGGTGGGTGTAGCAGTGTGGGTGTGACAGGGAGGGTGTGACAGGGTGGGTGTAGCAGGGTGGGTGTAGCAGTGAGGGTGTAGCAGGGAGCGCGTAGCAGTGTAGGTGTAGCAGGGAGGGTGTGACAGGGAGGGTGTGACAGGGTGGGTGTGACAGGGTGGGTGTGACAGGGTGGGTGTAGCAGGGAGGGTGTGATAGGGTGGGTGTGACAGGAAGGGCGTAGCAGGGATGGGTGTGGCAGGGTGGGTGTAGCAGGGAGGGCATGACAGGGTGGGTGTGACAGGGTGGGTGTGACAGGGAGGGTGTAGCAGGGAGGGTGTGACAGGGAAGGTGTGACAGGGAGGGTGTAACAGGGTGGGTGTGACAGGGTGGGTGTGACAGGGAGGGTGTAGCAGGGAGGGTGTGACAGGGAAGGTGTGACAGGGAGGGCGTAGCAGGGATGGCGTAGCAGGGAGGGCGTAGCAGTGTGGGTGTAGCAGAGAGGGTGTGACAGGGAGGGTGTGACAGGGAGGGTGTGACAGGGTGGGTGTAGCAGTGAGGGTGTAGCAGGGTGGGTGTAGCAGTGAGGGTCACACTGTGAGGGTGTAGCAGGGTGGGTGTAGCAGTGAGGGTCACACAGTGAGGGTGTAGCAGGGAGGGTGTTTGTTTGTTGTTTAATGCCGCACTCAGCAATATTCCAGTTATATGACGGCAGTATGTAAATAAAGAGTCTGGACCCGACAATCAAGTGATTGACATCATGGACAAAGATCCATGCAATTGGGATCGATGACCTGCAGCAACCAAGTCAGCGAGCCTGACCACCCAATCCCGTTAGTCGCCTCTTACGAAGGGTGCTGAAGGCCTATCCTACCCTGCATCTTCACATGGTCAGCAGGGAGGGTGTGACAGGGAGGGTGTGACAGGGAAGGTGTGAGAGGGAGGGTGTAGCAGTGAGGGTGTGACAGCGAGGGTGTGACAGCGAGGGTGTGACAGCGAGGGTGTGACAGTGAGGGTGTGACAGTGAGGGTGTAGCAGGGAGGGTGTAGCAATGAGGGTGTGACAGCGAGGGTGTGACAGTGAGGGTGTGACAGTGAGGGTGTAGCAGGGAGGGTGTAGCAATGAGGGTGTGGCGGTCAGGGTGTGGCGGGGAGGGTTTCGCAGTGAGGGTGAGGCAGGAAGGTGAGGTGAGGTGAAATTGGGTTTAACGTTGCGTCCAAGATTATTGCACTTATATAGCGACGTGCATGCACGTGTGTGTGGCTGCTTGTACTAGTCCGGACTGATGCCAATTTATAGTGCTAGCTCACTGAGATACCATGCCGCAGTTTAACATGAATACCCCACTCAGACACAGTATACTGACTCCGAGCCGACCAGTCCTTGTTTTAGCCCCTTAATGCCAAGCGCCAGACAGGGTAACAACAAGTACAATCTTTTAACGTCTTTTGTTATAACGCGTCCGGGGATCAAACCCCAAACCTTCCGCTCTCCGGGCGGACGCTCTACCATTAGACCACCGAGGTGGTCGTGTGGCAGGAAGGGTGTGGCAGGGAGGGTATAGCAGTGAGGATTTGACAGTGAGGGTGTGGCAGTGAGGGTGTACCAGTGAGGGTGTGGCAGTGAGGGTGTAGCAGTGAGGGTGTAGCAGTGAGGGTGTGGCGGTGAAGGTGTGGCAGTGAGGGTGTAGCAGTGAGGATGTGACAGTGAGGGTGTGACGGTGAGGGTGTGGCGGTGAGGGTGTGGCGGTGAGGGTGTGGCAGTGAGGGTGTACCAGTGAGGATGTGGCAGTGAGGGTGTGGCGGTGAGGGTGTGGCAGTGAGGGTGTGGCGGTGAGGGTGTGGCGGTGAGGTTGTGGCGGTGAGGGTGTGGCGGTGAAGGTGTGGCAGTGAGGGTGTGGCGGTGAGGGTGTGGCGGTGAGGGTGTGGCGGTGAGGTTGTGGCGGTGAAGATGTGGCGGTGAGGGTGTACCAGTGAGGGTGTGGCAGTGAGGATTTACCAGTGAGGATGTGGCAGTGAGGGTGTGGCGGTGAGGGTGTGGCGGTGAGGATGTGGCGGTGAGGGTGTGGCGGTGAGGGTGTGGCGGTGAGGGTGTGGTGGTGAAGGTGTAGCAGTGAGGTGTAGCGGTGAGGGTGTGGTAGTGAGGGTGTGGTAGTGAGGGTGTGGTGGTGAGGGTGTGGTGGTGAGGGTGTGGCAGTGAGGGTGTGGCAGTGAGGGTCTACAAGTGAGGGTGTACCGGTGAGGGTGTAGCGGTGAGGTTGTGGCGGTGAGGGTGTAGCAGTGAGGGTGTGACAGCGAGGGTGTGACAGCGAGGGTGTGACAGTGAGGGTGTAGCAGGGAGGGTGTAGCAATGAGGGTGTGGCGGTCAGGGTGTGGCGGGGAGGGTTTCGCAGTGAGGGTGAGGCAGGAAGGTGAGGTGAGGTGAAATTGGGTTTAACGTTGCGTCCAAGATTATTGCACTTATATAGCGACGTGCATGCACGTGTGTGTGGCTGCTTGTACTAGTCCGGACTGATGCCAATTTATAGTGCTAGCTCACTGAGATACCATGCCGCAGTTTAACATGAATACCCCACTCAGACACAGTATACTGACTCCGAGCCGACCAGTCCTTGTTTTAGCCCCTTAATGCCAAGCGCCAGACAGGGTAACAACAAGTACAATCTTTTAACGTCTTTTGCTATAACGCGTCCGGGGATCAAACCCCGAACCTTCCGCTCTCCGGGCGGACGCTCTACCATTAGACCACCGAGGTGGTCGTGTGGCAGGAAGGGTGTGGCAGGGAGGGTATAGCAGTGAGGATTTGACAGTGAGGGTGTGGCAGTGAGGGTGTACCAGTGAGGGTGTGGCAGTGAGGGTGTAGCAGTGAGGGTGTAGCAGTGAGGGTGTGGCGGTGAGGGTGTGGCAGTGAGGGTGTAGCAGTGAGGATGTGACAGTGAGGGTGTGACGGTGAGGGTGTGGCGGTGAGGGTGTGGCGGTGAGGGTGTGGCAGTGAGGGTGTACCAGTGAGGATGTGGCAGTGAGGGTGTACCGGTGAGGGTGTAGCGGTGAGGTCGTGGCGGTGAGGGTGTAGCGGCGAGGTCGTGGCAGTCAGGGTGTACCAGTGAGGGTCTAGCGGTGAGGGTGTAGAAGTGAGGGTGTGGCGGTGAGGGTGTGGCAGTGAGGGTGTGGCGGTGAGGGTGTGGTAGTGAGGGTGTGGTAGTGAGGGTGTGGTGGTGAGGGTGTGGTGGTGAGGGTGTGGCAGTGAGGTTGTGGCGGTGAGGGTGTAGCGGTGAGGTTGTGGCGGTGAGGGTGTAGCGGTGAGGGTGTAGCGGTGAGGGTGTAGCGGTGAGGGTGTAGCGGTGAGGTTGTGGCGGTGAGGGTGTACCGGTGAGGGTGTAGCGGTGAGGGTGTAGCGGTGAGGGTGTGGCGGTGAGGGTGTAGAAGTGAGGGTGTAGAAGTGAGGGTGTAGAAGTGAGGGTGTGGTAGTGAGGGTGTGGTAGTGAGGGTGTGGTGGTGAGGGTGTGGCAGTGAGGGTGTGGCAGTGAGGGTCTACAAGTGAGGGTGTAGCGGTGAGGGTGTAGTGGTGAGGTTGTGGAGGTGAGGGTGTGGCGGTGAGGGTGTGGCGGTGAGGGTGTGGCGGTGAGGTCGTGGCAGTGAGGGTGTACCAGTGAGGGTGTGGCAGTGAGGGTGTACCAGTGAGGATGTGGCAGTGAGGGTGTGGCGGTGAGGGTGTGGCGATGAGGGTGTAGCAGTGAGGTGTAGCGGTGAGGGTGTAGAAGTGAGGGTGTGGTAGTGAGGTCGTGGCAGTGAGGGTGTACCAGTGAGGGTGTGGCAGTGAGGGCGTACCAGTGAGGATGTGGCAGTGAGGGTGTGGCGGTGAGGGTGTGGCGATGAGGGTGTAGCAGTGAGGTGTAGCGGTGAGGGTGTAGAAGTGAGGGTGTGGTAGTGAGGGTGTGGTAGTGAGGGTGTGGTGGTGAGGGTGTGGCAGTGAGGGTGTGGCAGTGAGGGTCTACAAGTGAGGGTGTACCGGTGAGGGTGTAGCGGTGAGGTCGTGGCGGTGAGGGTGTAGCGGCGAGGTCGTGGCAGTCAGGGTGTACCAGTGAGGGTCTAGCGGTGAGGGTGTAGAAGTGAGGGTGTGGCGGTGAGGGTGTGGCAGTGAGGGTGTGGCGGTGAGGGTGTGGCTGTGAGGGTGTGGCGGTGAGGTCGTGGCAGTGAAGGTGTAGCGGTGAGGGTGTGGCGGTGAGGGTGTGGCAGTGAGGGTGTACCGGTGAGGGTGTACCGGTGCGGGTGTGGCGGAGAGGGTGTGGCGGTGGGGGTGTGGCGGTGAGGTCGTGGCAGTGAGGGTGTGGCAGTGAGGGTGTACCAGTGAGGGTGTGGCAGTGAGGGTGTGGCGGTGAGGGTGTGGCGGTGAGGGTGTAGCGGTGAGGGTGTGGCGGTGAGGGTGTGGCGGTGAGGGTGTGGCAGTGAGGGTGTACCGGTGAGGGTGTGGCGATGAGGGTGTACCGGTGAGGTTGTAGCGGTGAGGGTGTACCGGTGAGGGTGTGGCGATGAGGGTGTACCGGTGAGGGTGTGGCGATGAGGGTGTAGGGGTGAGGTCTTGGCGGTGAGGGTGTGGCAGTGAGGGTGTGACAGGGAGAGTGTGACTGAGGGTGTAGCAGGGAGGGTGTGACAGGGAGGGTGTGACAGGGAGGGTGTTGCAGGAAGTGTGTTTTGTTTGCAATATTCCAGCTGCACTCAGCAATATTACAACTATAATGAAAGCAGTCTGTAAATATCCATTCTGGACCAGACAATCCAGTGATTGACTTCATGAGCAACGATCCACGCAATTGGGATACCATGACATGCATCAACCAAGTCACTGAGCCTGACCACCGATCCCATTAGAGGCCTCTTACGACAAGCACTGGTTGCTGAAGATCTATTCTAATCCAAATCTTCACAGGTCCAGTGTGAGGAGTGTAGTAGAGAGGGTGTAGCAGATAGGGTATACTGACCTGGAGGCCCATGAAAAAGTACTCCTCTTGGTGGGGCAATCTTGAACCTTTCAAATATCTCGGGATACATGATAGGAAACACAATCATTTCTTTTAGGGCTCGTATATGCTTGCCCAAGCCCCCTATGCTTTCAAAGGTTACCTGTAGAAAGACAAAAGAGAAACAGTTATGAGTTTGTTTTTTTTTGTTTGTTGTTTAAAGCCGCACTTAGCAATATTCCAGCTATATGATGGTGGTCTGTAAATAATTGATTCTGGACCAGAAAATCCAGTGATTGACATCATGAGCATCGATCCTCGCAATTGAGATATGATGACATGCATCAACCAAGTCAGCGAGTCTGACCATCCGATCAAGTTAGTCACCTCTTACGACAAGCATAGTCACTGTTTACGGCAAACACGAGTTGCGGAAGACCTATCCTACCCTGCATCTTCACAGGTCATAAACAGTTATGAGATCATTAGAATTGTGTTTATTAGAGTTGTGAGCAACTGATTTTCCTTGACTCTGAGTAAACATTTCAGAGGCTCAGGATGCACCTTCAAATATACATTTCCTTGACAGATTTGTTTCTTAGTTTAGTGCCATACAAAGAAATATTATGCAACTTGTCACATTGTGGTTTGTGCAGCAATAACTTCCACTACTTATCATTCTTTTCCCATTTGTACTGCATTTCTACTTTTTATTTTTTTAATGTTTACATTTTGTACACATGCTCAGTGTGTTCGTATAAATCATGGAAGTATAAATGGAGTATAAATGGAAGTAGTCCAGTTTTCCATTGTCTGCGCTGCCATTGTTTTCACTCTACGGCACAGTCCTTGATAATCCTCTTGCATTCTCCATTATCCTATGGGTTAACATTTGTCTACAGCTACTTCAACCATTAGCGATGGTGTCTTGAAAGCCTCCCTACTTTCATGTCAGGTACAATCAACTCTGTCATGTCATCAGTAGGGGCAACACACACAGCTCACGGTGCTACTTACTGATCTATCTATATTCATTGGGTCTACGTCTGCTAAACTTGCTCCAATCTTTGACCTCTCCTTGACAACCCCAGATTGTAGATCTTCTTGATTCAAGTTCATAGGCAGACACCTAGGTGGGCAAAAATTCCTCATCAAACTGACTCGTCCAATCAACAATAAAAGTAGCTCCTCATGACAAGCTTTAGGTGCGTCACAACACGAGTTGTTGCAGTTGTTACACAACAAATATGTGCTGTTTCTTAGTTCCTTTTCAAAACTCTAACATTTTTCAGCAGATGTAAGCAAAAAGTGACATATGATCTGATTGATTGTAAGTGATCAACATGTGTTTGAAAACACTAAAATGTCAGCCAAAGTCTGGGTGAGAATAGAGACCAATTCTCTTTGTGGCAAACTGTTTGAAAAAATTCACAAGTCAGTTTGCATTCTGTTTGTGTACAGGAAGTGTACAGACTGACAGAGTTTGATGGACATTCATTCTAAAGAGTCCAAAATTCAGTCTGATCAGTATTGTCATACCTATCATGTCATGATCACAGTACTGTGATACCTATCAAATCATGAACACAGTACAGTGGAACATATCATATCATGAACACAGTATTGTGATACCTATCATATCAACACAGTACTGATACCATCATATCATGAACACAGTATTGTCATACCTATGATATCATGAACACAGTACTGTAATACCTATGAAATCATGAACACAGTATTGTGATACCTATCATGTCATGATCACAGCACTGTGATACCTATCATATCATGAACATAATACTGTGATACCTATCATATCATGAACACAGTATTGTGATACCTATCATATCATAAAGGATAGACATATCATGAAGATAGTATTGTGATACCTGTTCCTTGAGCGGGCCATGCTCTTGGCTTTACGTCTCTGAAATCTCTCCTCATCACTGGATATGCTTTCTGATGAAGAAGTCGAACTAGAAACATGGAATGCTTGTCGTTTTCTGGAATGTATATAGAGGATTATTCAATAAGGTTTACACACAAACTGGGAAAACAGTGGGACGTTATACTCCTGTATTGTTCAACATCAGAAGTATCAACAGCCTTCCAACAATATATGCATGTTGCCAATTTATGGTTTTTCTTTTTTCAAATCTTACACAATTAGAAGCAATACATCAATGAGGTTTCAAACTAAAAGGACTCCATGGTTGTAAACATTTCTTGTACCTGACAATTTTCTTCCTGTGTGCTGGAGATTGATATGTTTGGTGACTCTCAAGTCTTCGTATTGACCTTGGCGGTGTTTCTCGGAACAATGACTGTTGTTTCTTTTTTTGACTCTCTGAAACAAATATGTACTATCATGACTAACTTAAGCATTTAAAAGAAACATATTTATTGAAATCACATACTAATCACTGCAAATTATTATACCAAGACAACTGATAGTGTTTCCAAAAACATTCTTTAAATAGCTGTTAAGAACAAAAGTTATCCATGGCATGTTGTTCTTTACCTTAAACAAAGAGGAGCAAAGCTAACCATCATACATATAGGAGTGGAACAAAGCTAACCATCATACAAATAGGAGAGGAACAAAGCTAACCATCATACAAATAGGAGAGGAACAAAGCTAACCATCATACATATAGGAGAGGAACAAAGCTAACCATCATACATATAGGAGTGGAACAAAGCTAACCATCATACAAATAGGAGAGGAACAAAGCTAACCATCATACAAATAGGAGAGGAACAAAGCTAACCATCATACATATAGGAGAAGAACAAAGCTAACCATCATACATATAGGAGAGGAACAAAGCTAACCATCATACATATAGGAGAAGAACAAAGCTAACCATCATACATATAGGAGAGGAGCAAAGCTAACCATCATACAAATAGGAGAGGAACAAAGCTAACCATCATACAAATAGGAGAGGAACAAAGCTAACCATCATACATATAGGAGAAGAACAAAGCTAACCATCATACATATAGGAGAGGAACAAAGCTAACCATCATACATATAGGAGTGGAACAAAGCTAACCATCATACAAATAGGAGAGGAACAAAGCTTACCATCATACAAATAGGAGAGGAACAAAGCTAACCATCATACAAATAGGAGAGGAGCAAAGCTAACCATCATACAAATAGGAGAGGAACAAAGCTAACCATCATACAAATAGGAGTGGAACAAAGCTAACCATCATACATATAGGAGAGGAACAAAGCTTACCATCATACAAATAGGAGAGGAGCAAAGCTAACCATCATACAAATAGGAGAGGAGCAAAGCTAACCATCATACATATAGGAGAGGAACAAAGCTAACCATCATACATATAGGAGAAGAACAAAGCTAACCATCATACAAATAGGAGAGGAACAAAGCTAACCATCATACAAATAGGAGAGGAGCAAAGCTAACCATCATACAAATAGGAGAGGAGCAAAGCTAACCATCATACATATAGGAGAGGAACAAAGCTAACCATCATACATATAGGAGAGGAACAAAGCTAACCATCATACATATAGGAGAGGAACAAAGCTAACCATCATACAAATAGGAGAGGAACAAAGCTAACCATCATACATATAGGAGAAGAACAAAGCTAACCATCATACATATAGGAGAAGAACAAAGCTAACCATCATACAAATAGGAGAGGAGCAAAGCTAACCATCATACAAATTGGAGAGGAACAAAGCTAACCATCATACATATAGGAGAGGAACAAAGCTAACCATCATACATATAGGAGAGGAACAAAGCTAACCATCATACAAATAGGAGAGGAACAAAGCTAACCATCATACAAATAGGATAGGAACAAAGCTTACCATCATACATATAGGAGAGCAACAAACCTAACCATCATACATATAGCAGAGGAACAAAGCTAACCATCATACATATAGGAGAATGCAGTCTCCAGTATATCTGATAAAATTGAAAATTTTATTATAAATTGTATGTCATTGTACATATGCTATCTCACATTATGCATTTCCTCTTTCTTCATCGATCCTATGTGGAAACGTGCTTGAACCAAGTTTACAGCTTCTTAAACAAAATACTTGACCCGAACACACCCCAGCATTCATCTGGTTTCTGACCAATAACTGGGTCAATTACATGCTCTGTCACATCTGTCTCTCTGCCAACTCATTCTCTAATCGCCGTGCGCTGAGTCCTTTCCCTCAATAAGTGTCCCCAACGGATGGGCCGTCGGCCGGCCGTCCAAATCTAAAGACTCTCACAAGAAGACGATGTCAGCTAAGAAGTCACATCTCGTCCTCTCGCTCACTCGGACAGGCGCCTGTCTTTTCTGTTCCCGGCGATGCAGTCTGACAGTCTTTAGACTGACCAAAGATGGAGGGGATGACAGAGGGATGTTGGGGTGTGTTCGGGTGAAGTATTTTGTTGAATAAGCTGGAAACATCTGTCAGCTTAATGTGGGAGGAAAGCATTAAGTGATGCAGGTCTCAAACGTTCAGTGAAACCCATGAGCACGGGTATGGTGCTGACAAACCTAGAAACATAATCGGGGTGAACCGGGATTCATACCCACAATCATAGGTTTCTGGCATGCCCAAGGGATGCAATCGAAGAAGGAAGAAGAAATGCATAGTGTGAGATTGAAAAGTTAAATGTTTAAACTTATCCTATCATCATTATTGGATCAACAGCAAGTATATGAATCAGTTGGGTAAAAACAATTCATGTGCCCTCTGCATATCAGTACTGTCGGGCCCCATACCATGTAATGACAGCAACTGATGACCACAAACTGACCTATAGGCGGTGCCTCAAACAGTTGTGTACGAGGCTTGTGTTCCCGGAGGAAGTATGATCTCTTCTGTGGCTGCACGGGTGTTCCATCTCCTTCCTGTTCATCATTGGAGTCTGAGGAGCAGGATCAACATGAGACATACAAGGTCATGTGCTGTCACATAATTCATGGAGATCGGACAAGGACAATGTCTTCCCTAGTTTTTAAATACAAGATAATTCACGATTCCTCACAGCTCGTCATTTCTACTCTGATTTTCCCCACTCAAACATTATACTGTATTTTAACCTAATGTCTGTAATTTTGTCAAAGTAGAGATAAATTATCGATGACAACTTCTTCATTTACTGTAAAGCCATCATTTCGGTATAGATCTTTATAGTATTGTCAAGGAGGCCTTGCTTGACAACGGTGTAAGGATCTATACCGAAATGACGCCTTTACAGTAAATGAAGACGTTGTCATCCATAAATTATCTCTACTTTGTCATTCGTCAACTTCTAAGATATGCCTATCAAACAATTCATCTGTAATTTTCTCAAAGGAAAAAACCAAAATGATTTTCGAAAAGTTTCCAATACTTTGAAATTAGTCTCAAACTCCACTAACCTCCAGACTCGGAGTCCGAGCCCTGTATTGGGACGCCATACATATCCCGCTCCACCTGCTTCCGCTGCCTTTTGACTCGGCTGTACATGTCAGAAAACTGTAGGGAAGTAAGAGACGAACTTTACATGTTGTAGAGGTGTACAAAAATCACTTATGTACTACAATCACTTTGATGAGGAGGAGTGCAGTGGAGGCTAACCATATGACTGAAACAATCCTAAACTGAATCCTACAAAATACACTGTTAACTTCATCATCAGTGTCACTGAAGTCATATCACAATCCAATAAATATGCAGGTAAGTCCCATAATTACATGTCACGCTTATTTGCTTACAAAACTATTTCCTAACACTCCAAAAACATTTAGGAAGAATTTCCCGATGTGAGTGTTTAAGCAAAGAAAGTTGCTGAGCCAAATCTGTGGCTGAAGTTACTTAATGAGTGAAAATACGGCTTCATCTTTGATAATTCTAGTAAAATCCTAGATATTTTTTATATTTATATATTTATCCTGCATTACTCCTTAATGCATATTACTGCTTGTTCTTGACAGAGAAAAGAGCTGTGTGAAGGTCTTTGCTTGAAGAAGTTGTTCCAACTCGCTGAGAGGCCAACCCTGTCACACAGCTCCCACGTGACCAAAGGAAGTGACGTCACGGATCCTCACATTACTCTGGAGTCCAGACATCGGAAGGCATCGTGGGGAGGTAGATCTGCGATGGGGGGGTCCCTTTAGACGCAGTAATGCAGGATAAGTATACAAATATAAAAAATATCTAGGATTTTACTAGATTCTTTACTTATCCTGCATTACTCCTTAATGCATCTTTATCGGACAGCACTGGAGGCGGGAAAATTCTGATTCCCTCAGCCCATCTTCGATTGTATGGTCGGCCTGGATGACCATTACATGGAAGGGAAGAGTCAGGTATGCGTTGTGTCCTGGGTGTCGTTGTACAAAACAACCTTAGCGCTACGACTATCGTAAGTCTATGTTAAGGTATGGGAGTTAAGATCACCTTAGCGCTAAGGTCGCTTTGTACAATGGCACCCTGGTACTGCACAGCCTGACAATAACTCTCGGTTAGGTCGAGACTGGAGTACCGAGCCGTATGCAAGTGGGGCATGAACCTTCTAGTCCAGGGCTTACGTCAGAGGAGGTCGATAGGCCGGCTCTGGGCTTGGGGGCAAGGTCAGTGACATGTAGTAGGGGAGCCTGTTGGGCACTACTAACAGACAAAGTTGTGCGTGCCTAGCACATCCTCCAATGCGACATCTCGCATATGGTGACTGGCGACGAATGTGTTTGAACGCCCGGGTCTCATGTGGGTTGTTGGAGCCTGGGGGTCCAATCCTGCGGCCTTGTAGACCTGGAGAATGAAGGCTCGTAGCCAGAGGGCGATCGTGTTGCGGCTACCTTCCGCTTGCGAGGTCGCAGCTCTATACCGGAATGAAGAGGCGTTGTCGTTGTCTATGGCGTTCCTTGGATCGTCTGATATAGCAACGGAGCACTCTAACCGGATATAGACGGAGCTCTAGTTCATCTTCCGCACGTGAATGACATTCTAGCCCCAAGCTGGTGTACGAGATTTCGCCTTTTGGTCTTCCAGCCTGAATGAGCGGAGCAGAGCCTGTAGTTCCGGGATTTACATCATGCGCCGATCTTCCGGGAACTGCAAGGACGGAGTTGAGCGCCACAAGGTAGGTCATGATGGTACTGCCCTTGAGCTTACGCTTGTGACATAGATGGAGCATGAACTTGGCCAGGAATTGAGGAGATGGAGATGTAGGGTCTTGTTGCTTGCCCCTGCAAAAGCTCCCGAAGGATTGCCACAAGTCATCATAGAGGCTCCAGGTGGTTGGGCGATGTGCCATCGTGATGGCCTTTGCTGCTCTGGCCGAGTAACCTTTGGCGTTCAGTGCTCCCTGTAAATGGATAAGACGTGAAGACATAGCTTGTCTGGTCCTTGGTGTGGCTGTCTGCTGTGAGGGTGGATCAGAAGATTTGGCCAATCTGGAAGTGGCAGTGGGTTGGCGTCGGACAGCTCTCTGGGTCGACGACCCAAGCCCTCGCTGGCCACCAGGGCGTGACCAAAGACAGATCGAGGTTCTGTGTCAATCTCCTCTTCTGGACGACTTTGGGAAGGAATACAGGTGGCAGAAAAGCGTGTGCTTTTAGTCCTTCCCCGGGGACACTGAAAGTGTCGACTGCCCAAGCCAGTGGATCCGGGACCGGAGATATGTAGGACGGGATCTGGTAGTTCTGGTCTATGTTGGGGAGACTGTGGTCTCGACAAACAAGAGCTAGGCGTCTGGGTGAAGCTTCCACTCTGTGGGAGCGACTTTGCCTGGCCTGTTTCGGCAGCCCGAAATGTGTTGAACCTGGAACTGAATCCCAAGATGATCCACCAGGTGAAACAATCGAAAAGTCTGTTGAAGGAGCGAGGTCAAATGAGTTGTTACTTGGTTCTGTAGGCACCATACGATGGTTATGTTGTCTGTCGAGATGGAGAGACGGGCGTGTCCGAGGGCCTGCTTCCAGTGAGTGATGGCCAAGATAAGCGCCTCTAGTTCAAGGTTGATGTTGTGCTATAGGCGCTGATCGACAGACCACAGCCCCGAGGCAACCCTTCCCTCCAGCTGTGTGCCCCATCACTGCGGGGACGCGTCTATGAATAGGCGCAGAGGAGTCAAAAGCCCTGTCAAGGAGACGCCGCCTAAGACATTCGATTCCACCGTCCACCACCTGAGATGCTGCTTGAGATGATCTGGGAGGACGATGGAACATCTGAACTGGGTGCAGTTGGAGCCTTCCTCTGTAGGTCAAGTCCTGCGCTGAGGTTGGGAGGCCAGGGAGGACTTGCCATTGGCGCAGAGTGCGTGGTAGGTGGAGAGCTGGAGTTAGGTGCTTGCATGCCCTCCCACCGGACTCTGGGTACAGAGAAGATATCAAGGTCCGTCTGAGAGAGGCCGAGAGGAACTGAAGGCGATTTGAGGGTGTCAACTCTGACCTCCTGAGGTTAATCTTCCACCCCAACAGGTACAGGAGCCAGGAGGTGAAGTCCCTGTGGCGAAGTAGAGTGACGGTGTCCCAATGATTCAGGAGACAGTCGTCTATGTATGCCTCGAACTGAATGTCCCGGAGATGGAGGTACGAGGCTATCGTGTAGCCATGGTGCCGAAGAAAATCCAAATGGGGGAACCACCCATTGGTATAGGGACATGTTGATAGGCATCCTCGATACCTAGGCTGATGAAAACATCCTGTGCCTGGATCCGGGATCGCAGCAGCTTGACGTGGTCATCCTGAAATAAGGTGGACGCGCCAGGTAGCGTTTGTTGAAAGCGGCAAGGTTGTGGATCATCCTGTGTTTGAGTCCTTCTTGGGGACAAGGAGACAGGTGAATAGAAGCCCGGTGTTATGGCTGGGGCGTGTATAACCTCTATCACTTTCTTGTCCAGCAGCGCCGAGATGTACTGGCTTAGTACTGGCTTGGTAGCTGCTGTTGAGTAGGGGTGTAGGTGGCTTTGGGCGACGATGTGAGCGGCGGGTCGTCTATAAGCGCCAGGTTGTACCCATGTCGGATGATGTTGGTGACATATGGGTCCCGCAGGATCTCACAATTCTGCCAGAAACGACCCAGCCTCCCGTGTACTGGAGTGTTGACAACTTGGACAGCTGGGGGTGGAAGTCCCAGTCGTGCTTGTCTGGCTATTCCCTTGAAGTCCCTGCGGTCGGCGTTACCTCCCTTGGAGTGGCCGTGGCGGGACTGTGATGCGCCCGATGCCTTGACTTTTCCTCTGCCTCTGCATAGAGAGGTTGAGGTGGTGCCTCGCCACTGGGGCTGGAGGGTGTTGCGTTGCGGCTGGTATGAGCCAGACTGGGACGCCTCAGTGAAGGCTGGCTGTGACACCCTAGCCAGGGTCTTGAGAGCTGTCTCGTCTTGGGCGAAGGCTGAGACTCGGGATTGAGTCATTAATGTACAGCGACAGGCGTCTGGTCGAGTGGTTGCAGTGTTACGGATAAACGATCATGCAAGCCAGTCTGTACAAATACACTGCACGGATCCCATAAGGCCAGTTGACATGACAACGGTTGACGATGTTTACAGTCATAGTTCTTGAAACGTGACATGTATGTGGTCCAGCGCAGTAAACTGTAACCCCGTATGCTGAGTGGACTAGTTCAAGCTCCACACACGGCCAATCCTCTGTGAACCTCTGTAAACAGACAGAGTAGGAACTGTGACGTTGCCGGTGTAGGGGCAAGTTGTTCCCCATGATAAGAGTGACGACTGGTCTGGTGTTGTGAACGATGACCCAGTTGGGGTACCCGGGAGCATATGACAATTCTGTTGAATGACGAATTGGTCATGGGGTTGTGATCGTCAACTGTGGTGCAGATAATATCTACCAGACGCCATAGGTAGGGAAATCTTTGAGAGTATGTTCGCTTTCTCCAATCGTTCGCTATCTGTATAGGCGCTAGTAGAGGCTCTGTGGACGGCGCTTGTAGAGGCTGGGGCAATAGGCGTCGGCGTCTGTTGCATGGCTCGCAAGTACTGGATGTACTGGGGGAGAGGGGCATCCATCATAGGCGACTGGGCCGTAGGCGGGGTGCCTGTTTGGCGCCATGTGTCTGTCTGGTGGACTGGATAGGCGCCGTTAAGAAGACACAGTAGTGGTCGTCTGGGAGCTCTGGGTAGAGACTGAGACCATAGGGCCCGACATCATGGTAGTAATGAAGGTCGGGGAGTTGTCGGCGAATACTCGGATTAGTCAGATATCTGGCGCCGCTGTTTTCCTGGCCTGTTGCGTTCTCCGGTTCCTGGACATAAGGAGATACCGTCTGAAAGCTGTGGGGGAAAGCGGAGACAGTCTGTACATCTATGACCCTGGGGGCATTGAGATGTACAATTAAGGCACAGGGAGTGGGGATCCCAACCCGACATACTACGTCGGCACTTTGAGCAGGAGGGCATGATATCTGCAATGAAGCAGTGTAAAATCACATTGCGTCCCTGCCTGATTATGTATGCTATAATTTGTTTATCCCATTGTGTTGGTTTATGAAACAATTATTACGACAAACGAAAGACAACATACAAAATGAAGACAAAATACTTGCGAGGGTACGCCAATGGTGGGGTACAAAGCAAGAAGAATATAGAACGCAAGCCAGTTAATAACTGGCCACGTAAAATATTCAAGATGGCTACTTGTAACAAGACACCTGGGTTTACCATTGTTTTCTTTCTTAAGAAATGCCAGCAGGTGTACAAAAGTTATGTTAAAACATACAATGTTTCACAAGATAAAAACCGTGTGCACAACACAAGCACAATGAACATTAACTCAAGAAGCAAAACACGTAAGGGTATGAACAAGTTTATGCTTCAGATCAAAAACAGGTCTTCTCTCAGCAAGTGACAAGAGTAATGTGAGGATGTGTGACGTCACTTCCTTTGGTCATGTGGGAGCTGCGTGATGGGCGGGCCTCTCAGCAAGTTGGAACAACTTCTTCAAGCAAAGACCTTCACACAGCTCTTTTCTCTGTCAAGAACAAGCAGTAATATGCATTAAGGAGTAATGCAGGATAAGTAAAAAATGTAAAGATAACACATAATAAAGTGATCATTAGCTTAGAAAAAAAAATATATTAGGGGAAAAAAATGTTTGCCTTCTACAATTTTTATTCCTAATTTTTAAGATAATAAATCACAATTGGCTAATAATCCAATCTGGGGAACTGGTTTAACAAGTCACCGAGTCACCCTACACCGGTCGAACATCGATGTGAAAGTATGGGAGTTAAAGCTAAGTCTATATTACAAGTTGTAGCAGGATCACGAGGGGTACATGGGGTTTTATGCGTCACACATACGCTTTTATACCATGAGCCGGAGACAAGTGGTATAAAATCTAACGAGGCAAGCATAAAACCCCATCTATCCCGATTGATCTTGCGACAACAAATTTATCTTACTGACATGTTTTGATATGACAATGTAAAATAATTCAAATAAATTCCAAATTGATAGGAAACAGCTGCTTGATTGAGCTGAGATTAGCTGGGGCTATGTCACGTGACACCCATTGGCTCGGAAAAAGTGTGCGGCTTTTTGCTTTGAAGCGGGGTGTAAGGGATTATTCCCCTCCAATGCAGGTTACATAGTATTTTATCAAGATCACTTGGACCAATCAGATTTCACCATTCTGACATGGAGGTATGATAATGCTTTTTACAGGTTCATAACAGGTATAAAATGAATTCATTCATAGTAAAAGCACTGTCAGCAGGATTCCCCTGAATTTTGAAATACATATATACCATACCTCTTCCTTTTCAGTTGGTTTCATAAAGTTTGCTTTCCTCCTCTTCTTCCCTCTCCCATCCTCATTGTCATTATCTTTCGCACTTACAACGGCCTTATCCAAGAAATTCTGGTTCAATGTATCAAATGTATTCTTCTTCTGCCGTGTGCTGCGTCGCCGCCCACCATCATCGTCATGATCATACCCAGGTTCATCCTCATCACCATCATGTCCCTCTATTGTGATAGGAGAGTTGTCTGTGCTTGCTTTGCTGTCTCTACGACCACCACTAGAATTTCGTTTCCTCCTTGGCTTACTGGGGCGCCCAACTCGCCGACCTCGGGATGGGGAATCTGTAGAGACACAGGGAAATTCTGAACAAATAACAGCAACCAGCTTTGAATGCAGACTACCATTACAAACACAATCAACTACAAATCAGAGTGAGCAGGGTTGCAAGTCTGTGAGTAGGACATAGCAGCACCCCCAGCTCCCAGTTTACCCAGGCTTGATCACTAACGGGTCTTCCATGTACTCATCACAGATCAACTTGATAGCACCCCCAGCTCCCAGTTTACCCAGGCTTGATCACTAACGGGACTTCCATGTACTCATCACAGATCAACTTGATAGCACCCCCAGCTCCCAGTTTACCCAGGCTTGATCACTAACGGGACTTCCATGTACTCATCACAGATCAACTTGATAGCACCCCCAGCTCCCAGTTTACCCAGGCTTGATCACTAACGGGACTTCCATGTACTCATCACAGATCAACTTGATGTGGGAGAAGAGCTCAAAGTTAGGCAGGTCATAGAAACTGGCAACAGGAGCGGTGCTGACAGGCCAAGGATCATAATCAGGGTCTGGGATTCAAACCCATGATCACAAGATCAAGGTCACTACTGCAGATTTACTCTTACACCCGTGGGTCCCTATGACATAATCTGCAAATGCATTAACAACTAAGCTCACCCATCGCACAAAAGAGAATTAAATAAAACTGAAAAAAAATTAAAATACCCTATCATCACATTATAAATTTTATTTATGTGATTTTCATGAGCTAGAACTAAAACTCAAAACATACCCGTGTTCTACTGACAACATTAAAAAGATACCACTAACAATACATTTGACAACAATACAATACAATTGACAACAATACAATTGACAACAATACAATACAATACAATACAATACAATACAATACAATACAATACGCAAATCCTGGATGGGTTGGTTGGTTGTTGTTGTTTAACGCCACACTCAGCAATATTCCAATACCCCAAATATAATATTTGTTATATAATAACTACAATAACTTTGTTTCATCCACAGACATCAAGAAAACATTTAAACCAACCTTCTTCATCACTTGACATTCCTTCTCCAATGAAGTATGCCCCACTGTAACAAACAAGCAACAAGTATTATATATGAAGACAGAAATGATTGACAACTTGCAAGATTTAGTTTGGAAGTGAGGTGTCGTGAAATGGGGTTTAACATCGCCTTCAAGATTATCAATGGCACGTGTGCCATTGGGTACATGTAGACCACTGAGTTTGAACTAAACAATCTGTATCAAATCTGGCAGTGTTCAGAATTTCAACCACTGTATAGAATACCTTTCTTGGGTCCTAACATATGTTTCTACTCTATCAATGAGTCAACGACTCATGATAACTTTAAAAGATTTATAAACTTAGCATTCTTTAGAGAAAAACAGTTGTACATCAACAAAGTAACTTGCGACAATAAAAATATACTTGCTTTATTTTCATGATTTACAAAGATTAGACTTGTTTCTCTGTTTGTTAACTGTTGTAATCCACAATTTCAATATTCCAGCATTATGACAAGGGCATGTATATATTGGAGTTTGCTGCTCAAGGTTAACTAGTGATTGCCACTCATAGCAGGAAGTTTGCTCTGCCCCAAGCTTGAAATACTTGGGACTTATTCTGACCCACAATCCCCAGACAAGATGCTGACATCTAATAATATTGGTTCACTTTGAAATCTTCAGATTTCTGGACCCAATGTAACACATAGTACTTAATGACATTTTTTCAATCTTTCGTATTACTAGTCAATCATGCCATCAAATCAAGTCATTCTAAATTCATGTCTACCTCGATCGTATCTTTGGCCGGAGCCTGGACTGGAAGGACCTCTGAACATGCTCCGATGTCTGCTTCCCTCTTCCAGCGCTGCGAGAGTTGTGAACTACTCCACTGTCATCACTGTTGTAGTCCTACAACAAAACTCAGGGTTACAGTGGTAGAAAAAGGACAAATTCCTTTTTGGAAATGATTCAAAATCTTCAAAAGATAACACTTGGTAAGAAAAACACAAAGTCATTATTGAACAATATTCCATCTATATGACATCAGTCTATAAACAAGAGTCATCAGGGGATGACATATCCCCCAGTCTCGTGCAATTCAGACATGGAGTTTGGCTACTTATACCCCACTTTTGGTTTATTGCCTTTGGATACGTTCGGTTCAGTGAAGAAACACATAAGGCTGTTCAGTATTTTTCAACATCCAAAATCATCAAAAGGCACCAGTTCAACACTAGTGATCTGCATAGCAAGTTTCATCTACAAATATTCAGAGGTTTTTGGTGTTCTGCTCTGGAAATGAGCACAAACATCGTTTTGAGTCCATGTTGTTGTCATGAAAAAAATAAATAAACATAAATCCCAAATCAACGAAAGGCACCAGTTAACCACAAGACTGATCTGTATAGCATGTTCCACAAGAAAACTTAACGGTTTAGGAGTTCTGCTCTGGAAACGGAAAACTGACGGCTGATGGACACACAGATGGACATGCTGATCACTATATCCCCGTTTTGAAAAACTGAGTCTGGACCAGACAAAGCAATGATAGATACTTAAAATGAGCAACGTCCCACACCATCAGCGAACGATGTGTTACACAATCAACTAAGTCAGTGAGACCAACTACCCCATCTATGCAGTTGCCCGGAAGACCAGCATAGCTTGCTGGGTATCCAAGCTATCCCAAGGATCTGACACTGATGTGTTATAGTTTCATATTAGTAGAAATAAATTATTTATTTCATAAAGACTAGAACTCTTCTGATTCGACATCATGTTCTTAAATAAACTTCATAAACAATACATATATGACCTTGACTTTAAGTCGAATAATTCCAAAAACTCAACTAAACTCACATTCAAAACACTAATTACTTATTCTTGGAACAAGGATTCATTATTCAAAGAAATAACTTTCAGTATTGTAAAAAACACAACAAAGTACTGACTGACAGTTTCACATCATGTTTCTGCAACAGATTGTTAAACAAAAATAAGAGCACACTAGCATATATGAAATGTGACCAAAGTACGAAAATAAACATTTTCCAGACCTAATGATAAAAAGGATGTGTCCGTAGTTTTGCATCAACACAGCCGCTAATTATACAGTATGTGTCATGTTTCATCATGTATTGAAGTGCACCAAACAATGACAGACTTAATGACATGCAACACCACTGACACCATTCTGTGTTGATCATAAACCACCACAGTCACAGAGGTACAGAAGCTCACCTTATTACATGATAATAAATGTAAGAAGTGAGGATGTACCACCAAAATTGTCCCCAAACCATACTAGCCAACACATGGAAATGACAAAATTGCTAATTTTCCTGTTCATTGTATATTTATATACTTATCCTATCTCACACTCATCATCTCTTTCCTCTTTCTTCTTCGATCTTTTGTGGAAACGCGCTTGAACAAAGTTTACAGCTTCTAATAAACAATTCACCGAAACACATCCCAGCAACAGCATGGTTACCATTCAACAACTGGACCATGTACATTATCCTGTGCACAGCGACCCTACACAACATGACCACATGTTTATCTATCCCAGGAACTGCAATGCGGGGACGTTCTGGTGGGTATAGAGCGTGTCAGATAGGACAAGTATATAAATATACAATTCATAGAAAAATTTCCAAATTTAAAAACTTATCCTATCCCTCACTATGCATTCATCCTACGGTTGGAAGGTGGGAGCAGATACCCTGGCTCTTGCGACTACAACTGGGAGGTAACACGGGGAAACTGCTTCTAAAGAGCAATCAATACAGTATACGACTTATCATAGATCTGGAATGGGACTCCAGCCAATTGATTCTACAGACGGGCACACCACTATCTCCCAAGAACAACAGCATGCACAAACTCGGCATCTCTTTTCGCGCTTTGTCAAGGCTATCAGACACACCTGAGTGAAAGAAAGCGAGCCAGGATGAGAGAAGTGGAAGATGGACAACATCAGCAAGAAGATCTTCGATCCAATACCCGTCAACAAAGATGTACAAGACAGAAGACCATCTTGCCTCTACAGACAAGTGAATTGCCACTCCAACTGGGTACTCGTTTTGGGAACCCGAACATTCAAAGAACAATAAGCACAGGTGCTAAAGTTCCAAGATTTATACTGTATATACACAAGCATAGTACGAGAGAGCAGGAGCAGGAACACGCATCAGTTATCTGCACTAGTGTGCAATCATCAGCTGCCGTGCAAGGACCTAGGGACCAAATTGATGTAAGCCCTGGACGTCAGTGACGAAGATGTCACAGAGATAGTGGGAAGCAAAGACTGTCTGACATCCAATAACGCCATTCCTTTATGGCAGAGAGAGAACAGTTGCTATGAAGGTCCATGGTAGAAGCTCAGAACTTTAGAATTGGACATAACAGGTGGAGGCCATACAGCAAAGGTGGAAACACCCATAGGATGATGGCGGAGCCAGAAGGATGACGTTTAGATCACAGGTGGGAGGTTGGAAAACAGGAGGAATAGTCCGCCAACTTGTAGGATCCGGATGAGGGGCTGGAGTTCAGCAACAGTAGAAACCTTCAATCCCTTGGTAACAGCAATGACGGAGTTGATCGCAGAAACATAAGCGACCAAAGTAGATGCCTAAAGCTTTCACGTAGATCTTAAATGATGGAGATAATCAGTGATCTGTAGCAGAAAAAAGAAGAAGGTGGTAGTGGAGATATCACAAGCGAGACAATAGGCCTCAAACGCCTTCTACTTGTGCTCGTAGAGGGTCTTAGTAGAGGAACAGTGAGCCTCCGTGATGGTCTTGGCTACTCGGGGGAAAAAGTGTAGGGGGTAAAGTTCTCCCACGAGATGGCCAGAGCGTCGTGGTCCCATGCCAGTGGATCAGGGTTGGGTGAGACGAACCTTGGGTGCTGAGCATTGATCCTGGAGGCGCCATCCCATGTGTGACAATTGGTCTGGTCAGGAAAGGGAGTCAGCAGAGACATTGTGGATCCTGGGAATGTGCTATGGTTAATATGATCTGAATGGTTAAAAATCAATCAATCCGGAAATCAAGCATCAGGGACAACAGGGACAATGACTTGTTGGTATACCAGATGAAGACAGGAAATCTGGGCGCAGCGAGGTTGGAGTCGTAGGACCAGGAGCAATCCCGATGACGCTAACGATCTGAATAGCTGTAGGCTGGGAGCGTTTCCTTCATTGATAGGGAAGAGATGGTTGATGACATGGTCTTAAAAAAAAGAAGCCTGCCCAGTAAGGTTTCTTGGTTTATGATAGTACAGAATTCTTCAATGAAGGCTTAAAACACTGATCAACCGACCGCTTCACAATAGCGAAGACAGGTTATAAATCCGTCTCGGAGAGCTGGCAACATTACTGAAATCATTTATGGATAAAACATGTGCCTTGACATCGATGATGATGTTACCCCGAGGAGAGGGGTGTCAACATTGCTTCCCTTCGGGAGGAACAGCTGAACTAAGAGTAACGTTCTGTGCAGGAGCAAGAGCGAAAGTTGAATTAATAAGATGGGGCACCACCGTAGCCCTGGACGATTCTAGGGGGCTGAGGTCACTTCCTGCAGGAACCATTATAGGTTTGGGGATGGATCGTTAGCCTGGTCTAGATGGTCCCATGACGTTGGTAGCGGCTGTGTGGATGAAGGCAGCATCACAGGTGGGGGCAGAACAGAAACGGAGATGATGTTCAGGTGCGGCTCGGTGAATGGCGAACCACAGGAGCAACCAACAGAGACAAACATCTACAGGAAGGAGAGGGACGTCGAGGCTCTTCGTGACGAAGACGATCAAAGCGTTGATCCCGATGAGAGCGGTACAATCAGTGCGGGAGCGGACGTCAGGATAGGGCGAAGCTTAAAGATAATCACGCCAAGGAGGATACGATTCCAAGTGTGAGGGGTAGGTCTTCCAGCCACAAGCAGACATAATATAGGTCGGATATTTACACCCCATGTCATATGACTATTGCACCTGCAAAATGCCTCCTAACATTGATAGGGATTTGTTTGTTTATTGTGGAGGAGACTTCCACATGTCCCATAGTGGTGGAGCTTATGTAATCCATTGACAGCCCTGTTGATGTTTGTCTCGGCGTAGTTATATTTACTAAATAGCAGGGCCCCTAGTCTGTTGGCATGGGCTTATCCAGGACTCCTAACCGAGTGCCATTTGTAGGCAATTGGGGAGAAAATAGTTATTTTGCTTAAATTGGTTGTTACAGCCAAAAATATGGTATATTTATTTGGTATTCACGTGTTCTTGTAAGATTGTCCGAGAATTGCTATGGTTAACCCAGTAACACATAGCGGTGATTTGTTGTCAAGTTTTAAGCAGGTTATAGTGGTTACAAGGGGGAAAACTTCTGGGATGAGGAATGTTTTATTCTAGAAGTATGTCGCCTGCAAATCATATGGGTTGTATTTATTTGGAAGAGCAGATGGTCTACAAACGGTATGAATTACATTACTGGCAGCCCGTGAAGATTCCGGTTTAGAATTGGTCTTCAGCTACCCATGCTTGTTAGGCGACTATAGGGATCAGATGGTCAGACTCGCTGACTTGGTTGAGGCATGTCATCGTATCTCAAATGCGTAGAGCGATGCTCATGATTTCAATCACTGGATTATCTGGTCCAGATTCGATTATTTATAGACCGCTGTCATATAGTTGGAATATGGCTGAGTTCTGGAAGCATATTGCTGAGCTCCAGATAAGCTTTTGGTGTTGTGGGTATTTTACCCATGCATTTTAAAATCATTGGGTATCAGTAATTCTATCTGCGTATTCAAATTTCTGTTACCCACTAGTTTTTACACATGTGGGTATTTAAGTTAAATATTTAAAAACACTATTCATCTAGTCCCTGCAAACTGGTGTCGTGTGGG